GGACCTTTTCATCTCCAGCGTGTGGGACTGTGTATCGTAAATTTTAAAGATATGTTCATTTTAAAATTATTTTGTGACATTGCTATTGAACTGAATTTTATAGTTTAAGTGCAAAGAACATGATATTTAATAAATAAAGAAAACACACAAAACGTTAAAAAAACACCCCTTTGGACGTAATTTAAAATCTGAAATCTTTCAGTTTTTTTTTTTTTTTTCTCATATGAAAAAAGTTCTGCTCAATTTTTCGTCAACATACAGCATTTTTCACCACAGTTATCTGAAATCTGTAATCATTCTCAAGCATTATATCAACATAAATATCACCATACTCTTTAGTATTCAATTACTAATATTTAAAATAAGAAGTGTTTAGATATCCCTGCACCAGTGATTTCTCAAGCTGCCATGTGTTGATAGTCATATGGCAATGAAAGCAAAAAATAGTAAATAATGATGCTCAGATTGGTGTCAGGAAAATAAATTATTCAGTAGATGTAAAATCAAGGATGTTTTGATAGTAGAATGTTTGAGTTTGAAATGTATCCAGCAACAGATGTACAGAATATACAGATTTTTGGCAATAAGTGATGGTTGATTTAATATGAAGTATTTCTAAGAATGTGGATTCTGCACATGTTTTACTATGAAAGAATATCAAAAGCACATGCATAAAGCATACAAAAAAACTTCTTAAAAGAGAAAAAATGTTATTGGTGGTCTGGAAGTTCAGATTTTAGATCATTCTGGATACTGGACATCTGAATTTCGGATTTTATACTGTAGTATATTTCTAAAGGTACTGTCTTGATTTTAAAGGGTTCTGTGTGTCAGTTTGAAAGCTAAACCAAAGAAAGGTTCATCTGTGGCATATGTGCATGCTACTAAATAACAACAATCCTTTCATTTTAAAACTTGAATGGATATTGATGTGTGTGAGTGAGCAGTAATGTATGCCTTTGGATAGTTTGCATTTCTGAAATCAGTTCATTAAAAAAAACTTGGTACTTGTTTTGTTATCTGGCAGATAAAATGCAGTAACTGTCAATATAACTTTGGTAGTAATTTGTGTAATGGCCATTTCTATACTTTGGATACTGCTAATCACTTGCCATATGGCTTTGTGTTATACTACCTGACTTTCAACACCACAGAATTCTGCCAAGTAAGTTGGCACATGGTGGCATATAGTTCATTGATGGTTTGTGTTTGCTGTTATGCAACCAGCTTATACAATTAGAGATTAAACAAAAGACTGCTTGCTTCAAAAATTGTTCTAACTGTTTAACACTTGCATGAAGCAAAAGGCTTAATATAAGGATATTTTCATCATTTTCTTCTTCATTACACTTTGCTACCTTCCCATTTCATAAACAATTGCAATGGGGAATTTTGTTATAATTTACAAAGATTTTTCTAACATTAGCATAGTTTTGGTGTCTTTATGCTTATTTAGGTTTTTACTGCATTGCTTTCTGCTGCATAACAAGCAAGTACCAATAAAGCTCTACAGCAAGATATGCAAGTTCAATTTCGTGTTTAGGATTTCGATGCTAATCTCACTCTAGCAGAACACCCAAAGGACTAAATTCTTGCCTTGCTATATCTTGTCCAGTTAGAAAAATGGATAATCTTGCAAATAGTAGCAAAATTTTATTGTTGGATCATAAAAATAATTTGCACTATCATACCTACCAAAAGACAGGAATAATGACTCTTAATTTGTGAATATATATATATAATAATAGATGGTAATTGCTCTATTTAAAAAAATTTTTTTTTTTTTTTTTTTTTTTTTTTTTTTTTTGGCTTTTGCATGATATATAACCTCACATAAATAATAGGGAGGACCGGAAAATAATGTCACTTTCTTGCATTTTAACAAGTACAGTTTACAGTAAGTACATTTAACAAATACATTTTTAACAAGTTTTTATTTTTAATCAGTAATATAATCACCCTCGTTATCAACAACCTTTTGCCATCTAATGTGCAGATTTTCAATCCTGGACCCATAAAAATCAATTGGTTTTTGAGTAAAATATCTCGAGAGGACATTTTGGACATCATCCAAATTTTCAAATTTTTTGCCACTAAGAAAATGCTGTAGGGATCCGAATAAATGGAAATCCAATGCTGCTATATCGGCCGAATATGGTGGGTGAGTATGGCAATACCTCCCACCCCAGTTCTTTAATTTTTCCCACTGTTTGTCTTGCACAGTGCAGTCTTACATTGTCGTGTTGCAGAATTATGCCTTTTCTGTTGACAATTGATATTTTTTGATTAAAGAGTGGTTCACTCCATCCAGTTCACTGTAAGATCTGCATTAACAGTTTGTCCAGGTTTCAGCAATTCAAAATGAATAATTCTGAAAATACTCCATCAAACACCCAAAAGCGCCTTTTTGGGATGTAAACCCTTTGTAACTCCTATTAAAACTGCCTTTTGAGTTTTGGATTATGATATAGAACTTATTTTTTTGTCTCCACTAATCAAACAATCAAAAAACGGTTCTGTATGGTGCCGTTGAAGCAATAGGTTGCACGTGATGGATAGGTTGGCTTTGTTCTTTTCGGACAGATTATGGGGGACTGAAACACCTGCTTTGCTTATTTTTCCATTCTGCTTTAAATGTTCTTGGATGGTCGACCAAGGTTGGTTAAGAGTGTTTGACATGGATTTGCTTCCACTTCTGCCTTTAGCATGTTGTTGTCGACATGTGCAGAAACGAGATTACTTTCTGGTCCCCCTATTATTATTTCACTTTCTTCATAGTACATAATGTTTTAGTGGCTGCATGAAAAGTATAAATTGACTGAAAATGAATATAAAAAATTATTGAATTTAATGTAAAATATTTACTGAATTCCTGTGTGCAAATATAATCTAATCTTCTGCTGGAATGATGCAGTTCAATGAAACATTTTTCCGTATTTTTATTCAAATGGTGGAATGACTTTATGATGTAGAGTTTGTGCAGACAAAATCTTACTGATGAAACACATTTCTATTTTGGTATCTGCAATAGTGAGAGTTCTTTGGATGTATTACACTTCATAAGCTTCTTCATCATTATCACATGAAAATTCCTGATATTTAGCACTTAAAATTTATTACAGTATCTTTGGTACTTGATTTTCACATGGAGTAACATCAAAATCACATTTTTGAAAGCTCCGTGTCACGTTCTGTAAATGTTAAAAGCCATAATTTTATAGCCACTTTACTTTCATACCCTTTGTTACACTAGAATGTTGTAAAACATTTCAGAATTTTCTGATTATCTGCAGCCTTGCTGAAAATTCGTGAACTTGCAGACTAATTTTTCTCCAAGTTGACATGCAATGAAAGGCAACAGCCATTTTCAAAATGGTGGCACGCTTGAGTTCCATACAAGAGCAATCAAAGAAGCCAAGAAATATCAGTAACAAAGTATTTACATTTTTTGAAAAACTCCTTTTTGGGTTTTTGTTCTCCCCATGTACATAGCTATCCGTTTTTGCCTAAAACATTTTAGAGATATTGAAAAACGTAAGCGATTTGCACAAACTCGATATCCTTAAATCTTGGGCATCGTGCACCTGCCAAGACCAACATGCTATGGCCTTTAAAGGTTGGCACATAAAATATTTTTTGGTGACATACTGCTTTGCCTCATGATTACCTTTTTGCTACGTTTCGGTGGGAATGTAGGTAATCAGAAAGTGCTTGAGTTTCTGTTGATGGATTTTTGTAACAAGTTGCCAAGTTTCCATACAAGAGTATTAGCATTCCTTCAAGAAGGAAAATACAGGGTGTTTATAAAGTCCTGGACCCAATTTGATGTTTAATAACTCATAAAATAAAGATAGATTAAAATTAATAACATAAATGGTTAGATAGACTCAAAAAGTTTCATGACCCTTGTCAATAAACTTCTACGTGTGCCCCATTCGTCGCACGGAGAATATCAAATCGATATTCAATTTCACGCCAGGTAACGGCAAGCATGTCAGCATCCACAGAGGCTATTGCGGTTGTAATTCTGGAATAAAACATCATCAAAATGGGTCTGGGACTTTATAAACACCCTGTATTAAGATCTTTGTCATACATCTTCATTATAAAATGAATGAAGTTTCTGATCATTTTTAGTCCATTGGTTACAACAGGAGATAAATTGCGTTTTGAAGCAAGAAAACAGTCTTAATTTATTGATTTTTGTTCTGTCTTCAGAAGTTCTTCATTTCACTTTCATAGCTTTTCTTGAATTATTTCTTGCATCATTCATGTTGTGCAATTGCTTCATATAAAGTAGGAAGGCTTTTCACACTTTTTAAAGCATTTTTTTGTTTTTGAGATTTTTTACTAGAGTATGATACTCCCATTCATGTCGATACTCACAACAACTGTGATTTGCACATTTAAGTTTTTTTTTTTTTTTTTTTTTTTTTTTTTTTTTGTTAACACAATTTTTGCATTAAAATTTTAATGCTTAGCTTAACTTCATCTTATAAAGCAGCCAGTTTTATCAGTACTGAAAATGTCTGTTAAGACACATTCTAGGTATTCCCTCCCCTTCATTACATCAAAAATTGAAGCATTGTTAATTCTGTAATAATTGCTTCTGAAGAAATTATCTTAACCTTAGCCAACTACAAAAGGGCAATTTCTCCAGGTTATTTGGAAAATTTACCATGTTTTGTGTAAAGTGTCCATATATTGGCAGATCAATGGCTTCTGTGAAACACTTAACAATGTTTTTTCAACATTTTTATGGTCAACCTTTTCTAGACTTTTTCTTTGCATCCAAAATTTTTTTCGGGAGAAATTATCAAGTCTGGTTTTTCCACTTGATACCAGTTGCAGATTTATATAAATTGTATTAATTAGTTTGGCTGCATCCATCCTATTTGTTTTTTTTTTTTTTTTAAATAATGCATTATCTTTCTTTTTGATTGTTTTTTCATGTGAAAAATAAACTATAACATTTAACAAAGTTTCCTTTCTTTTTCTAGTTTGGCCCTCTATTAAAAGAAAATTATGACAATCTTATGCGAGATATTGTAGAAGAAGATCTTGAAACACTTGCTCATGCACGAAGTTTTTCTGTATCATCAATGGCGAAAACTTTAGCAGTGAGTTCAGACAGTTCAGGCAGCTCTGGCAGTCCAGATAGACAGGATATTTCACTAGAAGATGTTGTATTTTCTGGACCTCAGGCTGCTGCTCTGACTCCAGAGCAGTCTGACGCAGAAGTTTTAAGTAACCGCAGTTCTGATTCTACACCGACTCCAACACCAATGGAATGGACAAATCCTCGAGGTGCTATGATTCGTCATGATTCAGTCAAATCAAGTACCAGCAGCAGTAGTGGTTGTTTATCTGAGCGTTCAAGTGTGAGCACTCCAACAGCTGAGCAAGTACCATTTGAACCTACAGAATTTCCTACAGGTACATTAAAAAGAAAACCTAGTATAACCCCCAAGATCCCGTTAACTAACACCACACGCAACATTGCAAAACAGTCTGAGGATAATATCCATCTCTCTCTAGCACGAGATAGACTAAGCCACAGCAATAGTATTGGAAATAGCGCTACTCTTTCTAAGTCGGTCAGCCGTAGATTTAGCTTGAGACGTTCGCAAACAGATGATCAAATAATGGTCAATGGTATGATGAAAAGTGTGTATAGGAAGTCATCAGAACTTGCAGCTGTAAATTCTAAACCAGAAGAACCTGAAAAAACTCTTTGTGACTTTCCTCTTCCACCACCACCATTAGCTACTAGTAGTTCAATTGAAAGCCTTGATATAGCTCTCTTACCTCCACCACCACCTGAAGCTTTCAGAGGAAGCACAACAAGCCTTGATTCTTTACCACCTCCACCACCACCTTTGGATTTGTCTGAAGAATGTAGTTGGCCTAGCACATCAAGCTTGAATTCCTTACCTCCACCACCATCACCTCAAACAACTCCCACAAGAGAAAGGCCTAAGCTTAAAAGCTCTGATTCACCAAATAAAGATAAATCTGTGCCATTTGTACCCCGAAAACCATGGGGCAATGATCGCCGATTATCTGAAGCTGATATCCAGCAGCCTCCTCTTCCATTTCTGGCAGAATTAAAATTAGGTGTTGGTAGCTTATCTCGATGTTCTAGTAAACAACCACAGCGAACTGTGGTTGACTGTGATACATGGAAAAATAACTCTCCTACTAATGGACCTCCAGCTTGTCCAAAACCTGATGGAAGAGCTATTCCTGTTGCACCAACAACATTAGATATCGTACCAAATTTACCAAGCAGTTACATGCCATCACCACCCCCTCCACCTCCACCACCACCTCCTCCAACATCCACAATTCCATCTAGAAGTGTGAAGTTTGTGGACCGGCCATCTCCTCCAGCCAGAAATGAAGAAACCAAATTGTCTCAGAATGCATCTGGTTTACTTCGCAGAACGCAAGCTCCAGCTACTCTTCCTGGTTACAAAGCATCTCCAATTCCATGCCCCCCCAAATCATTTTTAAGAGATCTCCAGAAGGTGATGGAGAAGAAATGGAAAGTTGCTCAGCAGTTATCAGTAGATTTAACTGCAACACCAAATGAAATACTTGGTTTTCGGGACCCTTGCTATCTTCCCCCTGTCTCTCATAGTCAAACACTGGGACACCCTCCGCCACCACCACCTCCACCTTTACCACATACTATGAGGCCACGGTCCTCATCTCAAAGCAAGCAACGCAAATCTTTTGAAGACTCTGCAACTCCAAAAAAGAGGCCGCCACCTCCTCCACCAAAAAGGAGTGAAACTACTCAGTTATCACGAAAATAAGTGTTTATAAAGAGCTCAGAATTGGTGCTCTGCAATTGTGTAACTTTTTTTTTTTTTTCTGTTCTTCCAAACTTAATTTGATTCATACATCATATTTGAAGAAGCACTATGATCTGATGCCTTTGATAGGTTTCAGAACAGGACAAGTTTTCATAAACAACTTCAACCATTTTTTTTTTCACTCAAAGGCATTTTATAATACTGATTTCTGTGAACCCACTTAACTGTGTAAACACTGAACTATTAGGAGTTTTTTTATTGAAGGATCTCTTTTATGTTGACCAAGCTCATCATTGCAAGTATATAGCAAATGTGTTTTTCATATTTATAAATATACTACCATAAGCGCATGCAACATTGTTGTTCAGAAGTAGTTATTCAGTGTTTAGGATCCATATGGATAAAAGCTTTTGTTGTTAGATCATATGCTTGAAAGCCAGAGTCACTGGAAAGTCTTTTGGAATGAAAATGTTCAGTTGCAGGTAATATCTTTTTTTTTTTTATCCCTTTTAGAAAACAGTTATCTTATGTTTACAGAGCAGGGGGGGATGACATGAGCCTCTGTGTGCATTAAATAATTAAACATGTAACAGGGAATGCTCTTTTAGAAAAGTAATGGAGTATTTATTAGCAATTTTAATTAGATTAATTTTTTAATTTATTTTTTAATTCTCTAATGCAAAGTATTTTATAAGTTTTAGGTTAAAAACAAATAAGATTTTTTTTTAGTTATCTCTAAAATTTGCTGTATTTCATTTATATATTCTTCATATATCTGTGTAATTTCAAGATGATTTTATAATTAGTTTTTGCAAGCTATAGAGAATTCTCTCTTGTTACTGAGCATTTGTAGTAAACAACATTTTATATTGCAAAGTTTTTTTTTATTTTCAACAAATTGTAAGCCAGTTTATGTTTTAAACTATTATTTTTTATGTAAATTTTTTTACACAGACATTTACTAGCAGATTTGAATTATTTCTGTTGGTTTTTAATATAAAATTGTATTTTCATATTTAAAATTTTTTATTTTGCTCATATTGAAATTTGAAGAAAATTAAAATGTTTACATCACATTCTGATAGAAATGCAATATAGATGTAGATAGATGCTTATTAATACATTTAATGAAATATTCTGGAACTGGTAATTATGTTTTGAGATTTTATTTCTTACAAATGTTTGATAACATAAGATTCACTATCAATTTTAAATGCTGGGAAAATAATATTTCTTCCTCCTTTTTCTTTCTTACTTTCTTTCTTTCTTTCTTTCTTTTTTTTTTTTTTTTTAGCAGTTGTAGTTTACATTTCTTGAAAGTTAGTTCTTGATGACAAAGAGAGAAACAGTTACAACTGTTGCATCTTTAATTTTTTAAGTAAATCAAAAAATTATATGCCAATATCTTGCAGTTAATAGTAATTATCTGTGATATTCTAAAACTTGCATTAGAATTAAGCCAGCTGTTAATACTGTGAATGCATTCTAAACCAATGCAGACTTGTTTAATTCTTTGAAAATGTTCCTCTTTTGGAGGAAATGAAAATTTTATTTGTCTGTTGAATGTGATAAAAAGTCTGTTGTCCAAAATTTCTTGAACTCCTTGTAGTAAGTATTTTATATTATTGAGTGAAGCAGTTTAGTGGCAATGTAAATGCCATTAAATACTGCAATGAGCTTTTTTTTATTACATTTTAAAAACCAGTTTGTGAAATATTAAATATGTGTAAGTATCTGTTATAAAATGATTAAACATATAAGCACAGAATTTTACATTAAACTGAATAATTATGAGCGAATATAAAAATGTATTTAGTAATCAAGAATTTTATTATAACATATAAATAAATGTATTCTAAAGCTTGCTAATTATTGTATTTTTATGTGATGTTTATTCAGATATGATTTAACTGTGTTATGCTACTCTGGAAAAGGATTTTGTAAGTGAGAATTTCAAGAGATTGTAAAATTTTAGCTTAAAAATATTTCTGCCTTTTCACAGTTAAAACCTATTTAAAATTTTTAATGGATATAGTAATTTATATCAGAAATACATTATGCTTAAGTTTTGTTTTTCATATCTCTCAACATTTTGGATTTAAAATTTGCTTTTGAAAAATATTATCACATATTTGGAACAGTTCATTGCTTTTCCAAAAATGTAGCTTATTTTACTATATATGTAATGTTTATGGGTGCATTTATCACGTTTCTTCTTGAATTTCACTGTAAAATATAACAAAACTAAAAGAATTATATTTTTAATAAATTACAGAAATTGTGGTAAAATAATATTTAATAAAATAATTTATATTCCTTATTAACTACATAACAGTTAAAGATACATTGATAAAGTTTATTGGAAGATTGATTTTAAAATGTATGCTTGCTGTGCAATAAAATATTACAAATGTGTATTTATATTGGCTGTTTCTTAAATTAGAGATATATGTTATTTGTATTTAGAATCAGAGGATCTATAGTAGTTATTAAATCATCGAAAATAAGCTTATTTTCGTTGCATAAGCTTGAAATTGCTCGTTTCATAAGCTTGAGATTAAATTATGTTTTAAAACCAAAGAATGCATCCTTTCAAAAGCTATCATGTTTTTATTTATTTTTCATTTCATCTTGCATTATTAAATGTTTTAAATAATTCCTTTAATGTACGTAATGTGCGATATGGAAAACCTAAGTGTATTTAAGTCTGTGCACTTTGTATTTATATATTTTTAGGTTTTCATTTTAAATGTTTTTTTTAACTGATTTATAAAGTACTGTTGTAAAATAATAATGTTATACATTTGAAGTAATTAAAATGCATTGGAGATATATATAATGTATTTAAAATGTGAATTGTCCTGCCAGTAGTTTTTTTCCCTTTTTTTATTTTAAGAAATGCTGTTTGAAGGTGTTTACTTATATTAAAATTAGTGTATTGATTTTGTACATCAATGCCAGCCATTTATTCAGTGTCAATTTTAAAGGTACTGTGTAAAACTAAGGTGCCTTTGAACCTGCTGTTTTGTACTTTGAGAGTATTTCTTTGTTTTTAAAGAATATGCAATGCTAAATAATTTTCCAACGTATCCAATGAAATATATTCTTACTGCTGTGGCTACTAATATTAAATTTTGTTGTATTGTTTACGAGGCATGATAAAAATAAAAGATTTTGAATGAGTTGAAAATAGCCCTAGTTAAAAAGGAAGTTACATTTGAATACAAAACTTAAATTATGTATTTTTATAATTTAACTGTAAGAAACAAATGTATTCCATAATTAAATTTTATTAATAAATCTAATTTCTTTAACATCTTTTTGTTTGCAGTTCCCAGCAACTCAGTTAATTTTAACTACATTTTTACAATTTTGATTTTTTTAGTAGATGATAATTTTAAGCATGATAGCAAATAATTTCTGCATTAGAATATATTGAATTTGGTATTTACTTTTTTGTATAAGTTAAAAATTAATTTTGAACTCTTAATTGATCTTTAGAGCTTAATAAACTGAGCACTCCATTTTTTCAGTGCTCATTTGTTTCCGTAGTCTCTGACAAGCTCTGATCTGTTTCATTTGTAATTTTTTGATATCTTAAAATGTATAATTAAATGGGCAATTTATATATGCTTTACTTATCATATTGACGTTTTTCAATTTATAAAGAAATACTTTCAATGCTTTTTTGTAAAACTGTTTTTCTTCCCCTTTTATACTCATAAATTTTCTTTTGTGAGTTCAGTTTGCAGCATTTCAAATAAACACTGCCAGATATTATTAAGGTAAATAAATACCTGTTATTGAAGTTTATAGGCATATATATTATTCCTGTGCTTTAGAACAGAGAAAGTGCTTTGAGAATTAAAAAAAAGGTCCTAATGCAAAGAAGTAACACTAATACAATAGTTACTTTGTAAATAAGTCTCATATACTTAGTGATTTTGGAATATATGTAAACATCTTTGAAGATGGTATTGAAATGGTTAAATTCTGATGAATTGTTTGTATGATGAAGATATTGTGCTAAAGAGACAGCCTGTTGTATGTTGATGACTGTCAAATAAAATCTACAAGTTTGTCTATATGTCTTGTTGTTTTTTGTGTCTATATTCATTCATCCAAGAAATGATCCAGAATTTAATTTATTGTTATAAGTTATGCTTGCTGTAGTATCAAGCCAGGGGGGCAATATTATTTGGTGGCAACAATTTGAAAAGTGATTCACCATTTATAGAGGACAGCACAAAATCTTGTTTCAGTACTAATAGCCCATGAAGGTTAACATGCATTTTGGGCTAAAAAAAAAAGTAATTTTATTTGAATTCTTTAAACACTTTGCAGTATAAATTTCTTTTTATAAAATGTGGATATTTATAGAAGAATATTTTAATTTGTCATTAATGAGAGCATACAGGGGAAATTAAAATCATTAGTTTACAAAAATACCATAACAATTTATTCTTAAAATAATAGTAAATATTTAAAGTATTTTTGCTGTGATGCACAAAAGCAATTGAAATAACTGTATATATACGAATAAAGAGTAATTGTTATTATATATGAATGAAGACTGAGTCGTAGATTATTAATTTTAATAGTTTTTGCACCACTGTATTTTTATATTCAAGTTAACTTGTGCTGCTATGCATTTCTACTGCAGTTTCATATTTTACGTTTACTTTTTGAGAAAAATTTTGAAAAATACTGAATTAATGAAAAATCATTTTTCAGTTTTGTGAGTAATTTTTATAAGATAAAATAGTTTGTGTAATAAAATAATTCAAATTATGCTTATGCACCAGATGGCTATTTACCTGAGTGTTTAGGTTATCCATTTATCTAACCATTCCACTTTCAAAATCAAAAGGACTTGAATGCATTGTAGATGGCTTAGGAATTCCAAATCATGTAGTGATATATGTGAAATATTTACTTTAAAAAATGGAATCAGTTTCTAACTAGAGAAGTAAAAAGTTATCATGAAACTGTATAATGTAATAATGGGTATTAAGAATGATTCATTAGTGCAAAATTAGTGATATGAAATAGATGGAAGATCTAAAATCGCATTGAAACTTTTAATCAAGGCATTGGATTATTCTGGTTAAAGTAAACTGGCTCATATGACATATTGAGGAAACCTGGTGCAAGTTTTCCAGTTGCCTGGTAATTCAGGGAAAATGATAAAAATATCAGCAAAAAAGTCAAGCATGTATATCAAATCCATCTAATAATTGAGAAATTTAATGTTTTGAATGACAACCTATGTATAAAAATTGCTCGTCTTTAAAAGAAATTTTACCTATTAGTGAGTTGTTCACTTTTCTCTTTAGAAATGTAACAGTTTTGTCATCCCTCTCTATCAAAATGTTACTGTACTATGTGATTATATGCATTACAATAGATAATTAATTCAACCCTTTTTTAATTCCCGTTTAATTTAATCTAACTCTTCAGTTCAATTACAGAATACATATGAGTTATTCAATATGAATGATGTGCTGTTATAATTTTTTTTTTTTTCGGAATGAATGTTTCTTCCAGAACATGATATTTTTCAAAAACTGTATCTACTTTTTTGAATGGGTTTGAATATGTATTTACTATAAATAAATCTTTCATCTACTTCACAGTAATAAATAAGATTCATTTAATTTATAATGTTCTCAATTATTTCATTGTATTATGCAGAAACTGCATAAATAGTAAAACAAAATTATTCAGTATAATAATAATATAGACATAAAATTATTCAGTAAGTCATCTTGATAGCTACTTCTTTATGTTTGATTGATGAAATTATTCTGTTAATTTGAAAGCTGAACTTCAGTGTGAACCTTGTTATGCAGTTATTCCACCTCAGAGAATAGAATCTGGTGTATTTGAGGTTTCAGCACTGGTCAGCATTACTGAATGATTAAATGTTCAAACAAATTTTAAATGATAATGTGATTTGTACAGTAAGGAAAATTAAAACAATTGTTAAATAATGATCCATATTCAACAAATACTGAAATCTTTAAACATTTAGACACATGTATAGGTTGTCATGGCAAGGAAGAATGCAACTCAATTTAATATCTAAGCCTAAAAGAAATTTAAAATATGGCTGTTTTTTAAAGACTATTTTCTTTGATGGGGGATGAAAAGAGTAATTTAAGTTTTTGAACTGTGAGTAAAAAATATAACTAATAAAGCCATGATTTTTTTAAAATTAATCAAACTAATTATTCTGTACCGACCTATGTAGTATATTGAGTTATAAGAATCTTTTGTTAATTATTGTACTGATGGAAATGTTCAAATTCTGTACTGATAGATAGTACTGATGGAAAAATTCTTAGTTATGCATCTTATATTAATAAAATACATTATTATTAAAACTATAGATATAAATTATTAAGAATTATATTTATTAAGTTGTTTAGTTTGTTGAGCAATTTATAATCTGAAAATAAATTAAGATCTCATGGCATATCATTTGTTAACCCTTTGCGCTCGAGGCACTTTTCTGTGCACACTGTCCATTCTGAAGGTTCAGTCTCTTCTGTACAATCACTTTGTTCCAGATTCACTATCGATTATTCGGATTTTTCGTCTTCTTGCTCCTCTAACGTCGTCACTATCTTTATCATTTCCGTCTTCGTTCTCATGGGCAAGCTGCTCGCATAAGCATTGCTAAGAAACCTTTATTTGAGATAGGACATCCTTATAGCTATTCAGACACCTCATAATATGATCTACAAAAAGCCAAGTAGATCTCTCAAGCGATATTCCTTAGGTCAAACACATCGATTCGAATGGTGCCTTTCAGGCACCGCTCGAGTTATCACATCATAGAGGCACTGCTCGAGTGCAAAGTGTTAATACGTTAAAGATTCTCTGTTTTCTGTGCATGGAAATGAAGATCTTAAATCTCCTAGAATGGTACCTGTCCAAGTAATGAATGTAGGCAACTTTAACATAAAAAGTATTTTGTATTTTAGAGATGCAAGGAACCAAGGTCATTACTTTCCAAAGTTGTCATGGTTGATTTTTAGTTAATTTTATTATGTTACTAAAGTGAAGTATGCCCCAACAAGGTCGGTTAATAGGTGTTCTACTCTATATATCATTCTGCTGAGTAGATAATATATTATTTTGCCAAGAATGATTTAAAACTGCATGTTGTAAAACTCAGAACTGGACTTACTCGGAACAGTTGGCTGTTACAGGCGAAGTGATTATTGATTTATGTGTGTATTTCTGATTTTTTTGGAGGGGAGTCACTTAATCAGGGATTCTCAGACTTTTTTATGTCACCTTGATTTTTTAATATTTTTCCTTCCTGATCCAGTAAAAATGTTTATAGCGTATTAGGAAATTAAACAAATGTTCAGATATTTTTCAATTATTGTAAAGTGACAATAATACCTACAAAAATATAAAACAATAAAAAAAAGTTTTACAATCAGAAGTGTGATACTGTTTCTCATAGCTAGAATTTTCAGGTATAAAGGAAAAGATGACAACTTTATTCTTAAATTTGATTGAACATCTAATTGGTTTCCATATTTCTTTTTTGGAAAACAAGTGTCGGAAAGGCTGTTTCATGTTTCATATTCTTAAACTGTAACAAAAGACATACAAAACTTAATTGGCTTTTATGCAAAAAATAAATGCTCTTGACAACAAAACAGCCAAAAAATCTGTCAATGGTATTTTGTTGAAGCTATCTTTAAGCATTGTATCATAAGATAGTTCGATTATGAATTCACTATCTGAATTTAGAATTCCGTCTCTGATTTTATATTAACTGCAAAAGGCTTTCTTATTCATGCTATCTTACTATAAATTGGAGGAAAATATTGTTTCAGGTTTGTCTTCGGTCACATCAGATGTTCCTAAATAGCAATTGAAATTTTAGTATGGAACTGATATTGTATTCTTTTTATGCTTCAATTTAGTTTTGTAACAGCATTAGAGTATACTGGTTTCACATGAAAGGTCCTCCGCAACAGGGCTGTTCCTAGCGGGGGGGGGTGCAGTACGTAAAAGTATTTGGGCGGCCGGACTCTCGAAAGACCGCAGGTTAGGTTAGGTTATTTAAGTACGGCAAAGCCTCGAGGGCTGTTTGCCTAAGGGGAGGGATGCCTTCGTGGAGGACTTTCCAAGGGGAACTGGCTCATATACGCATTACACATGGGGAAAACCACGAAAACACCCATGTAGCCAGCCTGTTCGCGGGATTCGAACCTCGGACCGAACTACCAGTGTTCAGTGACTTTACCGCTCGGCCGCCGATGGGCCTCGAAATACCGCAACTAAATATTTTAAGTTCATTATATTCATTGTAAGTATTTGTCATATGTAAGTACTTTTTATGCAATTTGTCATATGTAAGTACTTAGTGAATATGAAATAAAAATTTTATTAATCATTGAAATTTTTTTTTTTAAATTTTGGGGGCAGCCAATAGCCTAGGAATGGCCATGCTCTGCAAACTGAGTTTTTTTCATTGCAGCTTCCATCTTTTCTTGCACTTTAGATGCTGTAGTACTGTTGTCTTGTAACGAAAGATTGAACTTACTTAAAAAAGAAGAAGTGTTACAAACGTAAGATAAATTCATCAATCAGATACTATCACTAAAATTATCTTTAAATCCAAATGCTGTATCTTAAGCTGTTGGGTTATGTTGGTGTAGAAACATTAAAAGTTTTGTCATTTCAAAAGTCTTTGTAAAATATTCTTTCTGGATAACAAATGTACTTTTCATTGTAAAAGAAGATGTAAAAATGTTCACAAAACACATAAATTGTAAAATAATAATAATAAATTCAAATTGTAAAAGAAGATGTAAAAATGTAAATGAAGATTTTAAATGTTCACTGCCCATCTGTTTCCAGAATGCACTGAATAACATGGACTTTCAAAGGGATGATGTTTTATGAAATTTATAAATTTTAGACACACTTGCATAGTAGTTTGCAAAAGCAATGGCATTTTTTTATGGGCGAGACTCTCTATATATATATTGCAGCGCATACATATTCTGGTATTATGTCTTCTGGAAAAAGTCTTGCACAAACGCGTGGTCATTGCAC